GGGCTACAAAGCTAAACATGCCCAAGCCCAAGCCTAGCCCAGGATGTTGGGTTAAGCTCAGGTTGGGCCTATGTTAGTAAAATCGGGCTTAACCTTGAGTTGGGCCAAACCTGAGCTCAAAGTGCTCAAAGGGAAGAGTTCTCCTATGAGAAATATAGTCTCATTCTTTGGTTTCTATGGCAAAATAGAAATGAAAAAACATTTAATAACAAATGTTTTCCTCCGCATAATATTATTGAAAGAGCTCTTAACTTATTTAAGGAATCCTACCTTATTTGTGGATAATACTAAATATTTGAATAGTGGAAAATCTTGGAATCTTATTTTTTGGAAGCCTCCATGTACTATCACTGTGAAAATTAATTTTGACGCATGCATAAAGGAGGAAGGGGCTTGTACTATTACCTATATTGTAAAGGATCATCTTGGCATGGTGCTTGATGCAAAAGCCTATTCTATTTGGCAAAACCTCAATTAATGTTGATGAAGCTTGGGCGGCTTGGGAAACCCACAATCTTGCTTTCAACTTCAAAACTTACCCAATTTGCATTGAAAGTGATACATTGCTTGTTATCTCTTGCCTCAAAAAGAAGACCAATACTGCTTGAAAGCTAAAGACGATCATCTCTAGTGCTCGAAGCTAGTTGATTTGTTAGAGTGTGGTGTCTCCTACGTTCCTTCTTTCAAGGAAGCAAACCAAGCTATGGACCGGATGGCAAATCAAACTCTTTCTTCTCCTTTCTCTTTCTCTCTTTGTATTTCTACTTTTCCTAGTGATCTTTTATTTATTTGTAAATGTGATTCTTGGGGTAGAGCTACCCTCATCTTGTGTAGCTCCTCCTATTTCCACCAAAAACAAAGTTTGAGACTTAGGGTTGGGCTTGGATTGACCCTCAACCCAACTCAACCCACCCATGTTACACCCCTAGAAGGAGCATTGTGACATTCCTAATTATATTAGTTTTTAGGGAAAATTCCCGATCAGTACCCTGTACTTTGGCTCGAGTGACAATTTGGTCCCCAAACTTTAAAATGTGACAATCCAGTACCCAAACTTTCAAAATTTGACATTCCAGTACCCGGACTTTTAAAATGTGACAATCCAATACCTGCTGCTAACCAGTCTGTTAATCAACCATTAAGTGATATTTGAAAAGTCAAAAATTCCCTTCAAATGCCATCTAATTCTCTTTATCAACCATCCAAACATAGACAAAAAACTAAACAGTCCCAAATCCTAGCCTCTTCTATTCAAAAAATTTGGTGACTATTTAGAAGAATCTAGAATTTGGGATTGTTCATTTTATTGTTAATGTTTGGGTGGTTGATAAAGAGAATTAGATGGCATTTGAAGGGCATTTTTGACTTTTCAAATGTCACTTAATGGTTGATTAACGATAGGTACTGAATTATCGCATTTTCAAAGTTTGGGTATTGGATTGTCGCATTTTAAAAGTCTGGGTACTGGGTTGTTGCATTTTAAAGTTTGGGGACCAAATTGTCACTCGAGCCAAAGTACAGGGTACTTATCGAGAATTTTCCCTAGTTTTTTATTTTTATTAAATTGCTTTAACTTTTACTAAATTTTTATTTAGTATTAATTTTTGTTAATTTTAAATGGATTAAGGGATTTTAAATTTATAATAGGGAAAATTACCCATTAGTACCCTATACTTTGGTCCCCAAACTTTAAAGTGCGACAATTCAGCACCCAAACTTTCAAAATGTGCCGATTTAGTACCTACTATTAACCAGCTATTAAGTGGTATTTGAAAAGACAAGTGTCATCTAATTCTCTTTATCAACCATCCAAACGTTGACAGAAAATGAACAGTCCCAAATCCTTGCCTCTTCAATTCAAAAAAGTCAAGGTCACATCTCAGGTATTCTAGTGACATCAACTTTCTTGAATAGAAGAGGCAAAGATTTGAGACTGTTCATTTTTTATCAACATTTGGATGATTCATAAAGAGAATTAGATAACACTCAGGCATTTGTGTCATTTCAAATGCCACTTAAGGCTAATTACCAGTTGGTAGCAAGTACTGGGTTGGTACATTTTAAAAGTTTGGTACTGAATTGCCGTGTTTTAAAGTTCGGGAACCAAAGTGGCACTAGGCCCAAAGTACAGGGTACAAATTGGGAATTTTCCCTATATAATAACTAAGTTTAAAACTACTAATTTTGTTAATTTTTAATTGAGAGAGAGAGAGATTTTAGGAAGATTTAAAAGATGCTTTAGGAGAGAGATGTTTTAGAAAAATTTTTAGGTAATTAGGAAGTGAGGATTAATAGGAGCAAGGATATGATTGCTGATGTGGCTTAATAAGAAAGCTAGAGGAATAATAGATAAAAAGGGAGAGAATCAAGGAGAAAGGAGTTTAGAGAAAGAAAAACCCATGTGACATAAACAACCTTGCTTCATATAGATATAATATAGATTACATCACAAGTTTTTATTTTCTTTTCTTTTCATATATTTTATAATCAATGACACCAATTCGAGGGAGGTGCACTACATTAAATCAAATGGTCATCAATATCTAAGTATCGAACTGAATCGATTCATTTCCTAACATTTGATAATTAATTTTTAGTTTTAAGTCGTAACCAATCAATATGCATCCGAGGATAAAATTAGGCATGTAATCCAGCCCTTTTTTTTTTTTTTCGAAACAACAGAAGAACAAAACTTAACAAGGCAAAATAATTACACACTTCCCTGTATTTTTGACGGTTGAGGTTTTTGCCAAAAGGTTCATTGGGAGCTGTATTAAGTGGACCTGCTAGTAATATACAATTAAAAAGTGAGGTGAGGATTCATGAACTCTGTCAAAGGAAAATGATTTCAAGTTTTCAATTCCAGGTGAACAAGTTAGCTCCAACAAAACTAGGGAGGAAAGAGTTGCAGGAACAGAGGCAGAGGACATGAGAAGGAGAGGATTGCTAAAAGAACTGGAGGTTGGAAGTTGACAAAACTGCCTGAGATATCTCATAAGCCATCATTGGTTTAGCCATCTCTGCACTGTTGCTCAGCCTCCTACCACCTGCCGATGGTGTTGCCATTACTCTGGACTCCTGGGGGAAGATGACGAACTTAAAACAATATGATGAGTCATATGACCAACTTCATTAACTCACAATTATCAACTCCAACTCCCCTTTAAATTAACCACTTAGGTGGTGTTCACCAATGTTAATGATATAGTTTTCTAAAAGAAAAACAACCGCCACAGCATGGAAGTTGTTTTTGTTTGGGTTTCTAGCAGATAAGGGCAATTTTTTGCCCTGAATATCGATAAAAAATAATAATTTTATAAAATAACAAAAATAAGATAACTTTTTTTTGGAAAATATCAAGGAAGGGCAATGATACTGTTCATCGCCTTCTTCTTCCTCAGTATTCATCCGAATACACAGGATTTGAAACCTCAGTGAAGGGCGCATTAACGGCAGTTCTCGCGAGAAATGGCGTCATCCCACTAGTATACCTATTGGAGAACAGCGGTTCTTGCGGTAAAAGGATGCACTAAAGGCTCTTTATTCTCTGTGTTCGGTCAACAAATGATGTGTTCAGAAACACATCATCTCTTACCGTCGCTGAGAGAGTGATGCCTCTTTATTTGCTGAACATCATCTCTTACCGCTGTACAGAGGAAGAGCAGTTCTCGCAGTTCTAAACGCCTCTTTTTTCGCTGTACGCCATTACCCGACACTGTACATCATCTCTCAATCGCTGAGAGCGAGTCTGAGAGAATGAGACAATAAGAAATGGCGCCGCCGCTGTGTTTCTGTTTTCTTTTTTGTTTGGGTTTCTGACTGCGAGAGACTGAGAGAGCAAAGAACGAAAAGGAAGACAATGAACAGTGTCATTGCCCTTCCTTGAGATTTTCCAAAAAAAAAGTTACCTTATTTTGTTATTTTATAAAATTAAATTGATATTCAGGGCAAAAAGTTGGCCTTGTCTGCTGGAAACCCTTTTTGTTTTAGAAAACATAACTACTCAGATTGACGAAAACCCCCTTAATTTTCTAAAATTTATTTCCAAAATGTGTTCAAGGTTCAAAGTATCCAATACGCCAACTTTAAAAATCAACTATTGGAAATGATAGAAGAATCAGAAATTGCACCTCCGCCTTAGGGAGAGATACAGAGATCCCTGGTAAGGGAGTTGGGCAATCCACAGTAAAGGAATTGCACCAAACCATGATGAGGAAGTTGCACAATTCCTGATGGAACATGGAAGTGCACCAAAAGCTGACTAAGGAAAGGAGTTAGACCATGACCTAGTGAAGATCAGCTAAATCCTAGGCAAGGTAATACACCATCCTCTGATGAAGAAGCTATACAAGAACCTGCTTAAACAATTATACAATCCCCTAGTGAAGGAGCTTTCCCAAACCCTGATCAAGGAATTTCAGCCACCTGAAGAAGAGGCACCAAAGGAGCTGCATCATCTGCTATTGATGGAGATGCCACAAAAGCAGACCAAGGAATCATAATCTCACTTGGTAAGAAGTAAATGCGCTAAAAACCTGAAACTAAGTTCTACCACAATCCCAAATTAAGAAAAAACCAGTGTTATTAACCTCCAAAACGAATCTTCAACTTCATGGAGGCTCAACCATAAAATGTATTCTTTGTTGATCAGTAGCAAATGCCTAAAAGCATTAAATAATAGTGCCAAATGCCAAGTGATCAATCCATCTAACATTTAGAAAGAAAAGAAACTACAAGAAAAAATGTCAGCAGCTCTATTCGTGTGATATCTGCATTGCCACGGTGCCACCATGGGAAGCATACGTCAAACACAGCTTACTGCTAGAAGCTCCTCCAAAACCAAATCAACTTCTAATAATTACATGTAACTTTACACAAGGTTGCTAGAAAAGAACAGGAAGAGAAAGGGAAAAAAATTAAAGAAAATTTTAAACAAAAGATATTAAAAATAATGAAACTGAAAATGTTGAAAGAGTTCAAACAAACCCAATTGACACAAATTACGACGAAGCAGCCTTGATAGCTCTCTTCAATTCCTCTCCGACGTCGGTTGTTGCCTGGATTTCGGAACCACCATTAGATTTCTTCATTTCTCTCCAACCATTCTCTTCCCCTCCGCCATTCTTTTTGTTCCTCCACCGCTCAAATTCGGTAGAATTCTCATTAGATAATGGCGATGATTTCTTCAATCCGGCACCGTTGCTTTCTCGACGATTATGGTTTCTCAGCTGAACTCCAGTTCTCATCATCTCCTCTAAGCTCTCCTTCATCGCTCTGTTTTCTCTCTGTAGAGCCTCCACTTCTCTTCCCATCCACAAACACATTCCTTTCAACATCTCCAAACCCCCCTCCTTACCGTGGCTGGTGTTGCTCTTCGGTTTCATCTCCACTTCCTCCTCAACCCGCTCGATTCCAATCTTGTCAACCGTGAGAAAAGGTAGCCTCTTTTTCCCGCCAAAATCAGTAGGAAAATTAACCCCCCACCGGAATTTTATCACGGCTCGCTTGGTCACCGGCAGCAACGTCTTGGCCGTCACAGCCACTCCAGATAAGAAGCCATCGGCTCCCTGGAATTCAGTCAAGTCTCTCCAAACCAACGGCGGCCTCTCCGGGGCAAAACCGTCGAAGTGAACCCCACCGTTCTCTTTGGGTTGGTCAGGGTTGGGGTTGGGGTTAGGGTTGGGAAGGGAAGCAGAGACGGCAGTCTTTTTGAGTGAGAAGTCGCCGAATTGGGGTTTGATTTGAAGGGAAAAGATAGGGTTAGGGTTTCCGAACAGATTGAAATGGGCGGACATGATGAGAGGGGAATTTTTGGGGGAGCCGAAAAGGCCGACGCCGGACTTGAGGGAGAGGGAGAAAGGGCCAGTGGTGGTGGTGGTGGTGGTGGTGGTGAGATTAGGGTTATAGGAGAGCTTCAGAGAGGGGCCATTGAGGAAGCTGGTGCGGAGGCTGAAGGAGAGGTCAGTTGGGTCGCCAGCGGTAACGCCGGAGATGAAAGGCAAGCCGAAGACACTTATTGGGATCTTAGCTCGAAGGAGTGGATTCTTCTGGTTGTGATGCTCTTCTCGGACCTTAATCGATGCCTTCATCTCTCTCTTTCTCTCTATTACTGTAGTATCGAGTCTCTCCCGCTTTCTCTCTGTCAGGCTGCAACTCCTCTAATCTCCCCCTACAGTGTAATCCCCGTCGAGGCTTTTTCTCGCCCTTTCTGCTTCGGAGAAGGAAAATGGTTCTAAGTAGCAGAACAAACCCTTATGATTGAAAGGTGTGTAGATGGGCGCGTTGGAAGTCTACTACTCCCTCGTTGATTTACACGTCCTATGTAAGGTTCTACTCGTACTAACTAGTGGGCCAATCATAATACACCACGCGTATCAAGGATACGTATTAAGAAATTGGTTGGTTATACGAATTTGAGTGGTGTTGGTGTTGTAAAAGCACCCATCGATGTTAGAGATAAACTAGGGTTTACTTTGCCTCCATTTGGATGCCATGTAAATCAATGCAAATTTTATATCGATTCGGTTTTGCATGTGTTTGAAAAGAGAGTATAATTATTATCGATGTAAAACTATACTTCGGTTCAGTTTTGCGTGTGTTTGGATGGAATGTATAATTATTATCAATGTAAAATTATACTTCGGTTCAGTTTTATATTGATAATAGATGTAAAATCTCATCAACTCTAAAAAAACTACATCAATTTTATCGATGCAAAATTTTACATTCTTCAATACATTGATGACGTTTTACAATGATTCCAATTCCAAACACAGCCATACAATTTAATGAAATTGATACCCGATAGAAACATTCTTAGGCAAAATTGGTGCTTGGTGCTGTTTGGGATCGACGCCGATCTCTTAGAACCACATCAATGATTCCAAAATCACTGATTATTTTGTTGTTTGGTTGGTACAAATCAGTCAGAAATCGATTATTAAATTGGACTGGCATCTGACATGAATAGGGGAAATAGTTCCCATAGACAAAAATCAGTAAACACAACTGATTTCCGAGAAATCATATCTGACATGGCAACAATGGTACTAAACAGGCAATTTCAACTCAGTGATTTTTGAAAAATCTCATAAGAGGAATCAACATGGACCCCGAACACCCTCCTCAATGTTTGGACTTTGCACTTTTGAAGTACCAAGGCAAACATACTTTACAGTAAAAATAAAATGTATTAGCATTGTAAAATAAGATATCAGTACACTAATGGATCCTATAATTTTAGTATCGTTAACCTAATGAATGAATGAAATGGAAGACATCTTTCCAGCCAGAACTTTTGTGAACGTATTGGGCACTGAGTGCAAATCAAACACGACCTGGCAATGACAATGAGGAGCACTACTTCTGGCTGGGGATGGCTGCTGGCTACAACAGATGAGAAGGTAGATTGTAGCATTTGACAGTTCCTACCAAGAGAAGAGCTTCTTTAAGGGCCTTGAAAACATAATTGGGATAATCCTCAATGTGAGCAAGGCCATGATGAGACTGCATCTCAGCTAGAACCCTTCCAACTATCTGTAATAAAGTTCAGCTGGGGTTACTAACATGATCTGATATAACAACAGTTAAGACTGGTTCTCAACATAAGAACATGGACTGACCTTTCGTGCGTAACCACCATAAGCTACCCCACCAATTAAAGCCTGTTGTGAATTGACCGTAAACATCTCTCCCCTCCAATTCCCTATTATAAAGTACATCTGACAAGTTAAAATATATCCATGGGCGTGCATCTTGTAAAAACAGCTTAAAGAGAAAATGCCTTCATCAGGATGGGGTTAATGTAGAAATATCCTTCATGGCTGACTCAAATCTTGTGGCATAAGCATAGAGATTTTAGACGACGAGCATAAAGTATACCAAATTCTTCCTCTAAAGTAAATCAGCCAGTGTCTATCAGTAATAATGAAGGGTGAGTAAATACCAGATATGGATGTTGTTTGAAAAAGACCTGCTTTCTTCAAACCACTAACAGTATGAGAATTGGTGCCACCAGCTATTTGAAGAAAACCTACACGCATGAACAGCATACAGAAAAACTTACTTTTGAGCAATAGACAAACTGCACCTTGCAAAGTTTCTATCATTAAAAACATGGTAATAAAAAAACTGTACCATGAGGTCTGTCTCTTACTGCAGCCAAACGAACAGCAAATGCAATTGCTTCCCTTGTTGCTCCTCGACCAATGTCTCCACTCATGGGGCGTCCATCCAACTACAGTTGTATTGTATATCAGATGCATGCAACATTAAAAAGAAATATTTAGTTATGATGAATCCTTACAGATACAACAGGACTCAAGCAGGCAATCTTACACTTCACATATTATGAGTCACACCTGCCATAAATTGTAGCAATGTAGATGAGGATCCATTATTGAGTGTATTGTTTTCATTACAGATACAGTCAAATCACCAACATCTGGTAAGCTAACCTGGACCAAGTGAAAGGTTGGGTCACAATCATTTACATATTAACATGCTGTTTACCAACCTGAAATCAGCATGTTATTACCAGTATTTAGTACCATTAATATCAATTTGTGTCGAAGGATACTTACTGCAACTAGCTCCACATGTCTAATTGAATCTTCCAAGTTATTCCAGAGATCTTTAAATGAATCTGTTTGCCTAAAATAAAGGTAATTTGAAATTACAAGGAACTCCCAGCAGTTGGTTGTTTAGATTTCATTGATATCTCAGATATGTGAGGTGCAACCAAATCAACCCTGAAAGTATGATAGTTCTTGAAGACTCTTTACCTTCCATTTGTATGGATCTCTACAGCGTCCACATCATTTCTCCTCAGAAGTTGAGATGTGGCAGCAGCATCTCTAACATATGTAACAGCTCCTAAATCAATAACAAAAATTGAGCACATCAAATACAATAAAGAGCTAAAGATAATAGACATTCTTCAAATAAAAAATATAGGCTCTACAAATTAAAGGGGTTTAATTGCAAAGATGTTGGAATTTGTGGGTATTAAACATGACCTAAGTGATTATCAAGCATCAAGCTTATCTCAGTAAGGAAGGGTAATATTGATTATCTAACACATAAAGAGGGAGAGGAAAAAAAATACATACTTATTTTATCAAAGGGGCAAACTCCAAAGCATCTGCCACAACCATAGCAGCGCTCTGTTATCACTCCGACCTACATGTATATACGTCTCATCTTCAACAGGAGAAAGGAAAATTAAGGTAGAAACAGATTACAGACATGAAGTTGGAACCTCCAAGGTTATAACTAACTCCACAAACCTGCAATTTACCACGTCCACCAATAAAATGGGTAAATTCTTCTTCACTCGATGCCTTCCTCTCTAATGATATGGCATTAGCAGGGCAAACCATTTCACAGGGTCTTGAACAATCCAGCGGACAATCATCAGGATCAAATTCTATCAAGACAATTATCTAAGAACATTAGAGTTTGCAAGAGATAATTGACATAAATAGAAAATGTTATACCAGCAATTATCCTCCTCATAACTGCATTTTGATATTGGTTCCAAGCTCGTTAACCAATAAATCCAAAATACTGGGTCTCCCATGCTAAAAATTTTCTAACCGGATTTTTAACTTTACTGGATTCATAGAAATGACGCCATGGGCACTCAATCAGAGATTTTCTTACAAGTATCCAATTATGACATTTGTGGATATCCTTCAAATATGGTTCCACTTCCCTGCAAAGATCATTACAGGAAGCTTGGATCTCATTATTAAGCATTAGCAAAGGCCTCCAGTTGCTCGTATTCCAAACACATTCTACTTCTCCTTTTCTGTTTTTCTTTTTTCTTTTTTTTAATTTCTATGTGGAGCAGAACAAGACCTAACTGCTTTATCAAAAAAAAAAAAAACCGTTAATCAGACTGTTTAGATCAATAAGCGTTCTTAGAGTAGATATCAAACAGACTTAAAAGCACAATCCTACAACCAAAGGAATTTTGGTGATGTCATTTACAGTACCTGCCCAAATTATATTATCAAGTTAGTGTAATCCATGGAAGTGAAACCCAATTTTCTATTGGAGTTTACAATTGCAGGTGCCATTTGGAAAAACAATTGACACGCCCATGGCAGACAAACACCTAATCCACACTCCTAAAAGGAAAGCTGAGTCCAAATACAGTTCAAGAAGGATCCTGGCAAAGTAAATGCTATGCAATATATCTGCTTAATCACTGAATTCCCACCACACCAATGAGTAATCTCTGAACTTTGTTCCTCAATCACACTACAATATTTATGTGAGCTTCGCAAAACGGTGTATATCAACATGGACCCATCCTTTCACATAAGTACGAAGTGTATAATTGAAGGTTCGTATTTAAATTAGTAATGGGGATTTTAGTGGGTTACGTAATCGGTGATCATAGAAGGCAGGGATTCTTACCAGCTTTCCGGAAGTGGAGATCTTCATCGTCGTTAACACTGATCATTACCCATGGCCTTCGAAGGGAACCCAACATCTCTCTTGCTGCTTCGATCCCTTCATTCACCGCGCTCACAACCGATGCATCAGCCGCACAATCAATGCAATCAACTGCAAGTGTTTCATTCCCAAACAACAATATCGGACTTCTATCAATAAACAAAAATCCAGAGAAAATGAGTTGCAGATATTCTGTTCTTTCTTTTATGTTAATTTACCTCCAGCGAGAGTATAAACGAGAGAAAGATTTCTAATATCGACGACATCCTGAGGGGGAGTTTCCAAGGGGGAAAAAAAAAAAAGACGATGGGTTAGTCCGAGGTGCGAAAAGATTAAATTCTGTTCAGTTGCTCATTCTGTTTCTTTCAATATTATTAAAGGGTTCGGGGTTAATTTATACAAAACCTCAAAGCTAGCTCCGCAGATGAGCTTCACCCAGTTCCCTTTACGGAGGGATTCGTCTGGAGAAGACGAAATCGAAGGAATTCCAATGGTTTCTACGAGATTTCTGACGTTTTGAAGATATTTCGTGCTCCTACTGTTCACTTTCACTGAAGAAAAGAAGGAAAAATAGATGAAATCATAAACATGAGACACACACGCAGAGAGAGAGAGAGAGAGAGAGAGAGAGAGAGATGTCTAAACGATTACAGAATTAGCTTCTGGGGGGCAGAGAGTAACCTTGTTGAGGTAAAATAGAGGCATTGCAGGCGAAGCTCAAAGCCATGAGAAAATATCTTCAGTGCAACTTTTAAGCTTTAACCATTGAAGTAAGGTCTGGTTTGTCAGACTCGAGAGAGAAGCAGCAGCTCTACCAACAACCATCTAGTCCCACTGGATTTTTCGAGGGATATTTTGCCAGCCATCCAATGAGCGAAAGGTTTAAGGCAACCTTGAAGGTTGCTTACATTAACGGTCATTAATAATACCGTTTTGTTCTGTTTACCAGTTGGATTATAAGTGGGGAGTTTCTGAATTGAGGAATTTATTTTTGAAGGTTTATAAGTGGGGAGTTTCTGAATTGAGAGTAAAGGAAAAATGTTTAATAAAAATTTCAGAAAAAAAAGTTCGCTTTTTTATAGACAATATAAATTAATAAATTAAATTATAAATTACAAAAAAAGTATTAATATATATAAACAAACAAAGAATAGTGACAAGATGAATGAAAGAGTCAACTAAGATGGTTTAATTATGTAAATGGATGGCTAAAAACTGCATTAGTGAGTTGATATTCAATTATTCATAAAGGAAAATGGCAGAACATAATAATGGTACAGCCAACCCACTTCCATATTGACTGGAATGGGTCTGGCCCGCCTTCATGAGGAAAAACTAAGCCAGATCAGGAAGAGCCTAAATAAGAACTAGGCCCTTTGATTAAGACACCACCCACCCTTAAGGAACCAACTCCTCCAAGGCTCATTATTCCCCATAACCATAAGAAGCTGCGAATCCAGAGCCACGCTTCTCAAGTTGAACTATATCCTTTGGCTTTTTGTGGCACAAACATAGTCCTCACACTTTAGTGGTTACGCCAATTAGTCTTGATGTCATGTGATTGCGTCAGGCTAACGATATATCTTTGTGCATCTAGTCCTCCATCACATTTACAACCTTGGTGAACTCACTCGTTAAGGGTCTGTTCTCACGTCTGACATCTGAAAGTGCAATAGTTATATTAAAATGTATATTGAATTTTTCTTTCCTTTGAATTCTGAAGGTTTGTTCTGAATTTTGAAAACTGTCAAATGTCCATTTTCACCCTATATATGAGAACTTTTATTTGTGTTTTGGGGGTATTATTAGAAAACAAAAAGTTATAAAATTCCACTTTAAGAAATAAGATATAAGAGGAAATGAAAACCCATATTCTTCTTGAAGTTATAAGATTCCTCTTGAGAGATAGGAATTAAGAGAAAACGAACAATGCCCCAAGTCTAATTGTACTTTGGGTCAACCAATGTTATTTCTACTAGTCCCTCTCCACATGGGCCCTAATCTTTTCACAGAACAGTTGAACCCTGACCCATCTGACTTTCAGACCGACCAACAGTTGTGAGACCCTCAAGGTCTAAGTTCCCATCGTCCTTGGGGCACCATTGGCCAACGCCCATCCATATAGATATCAACAATATCAATGCTAAGAGGTTGAGCATATTATCAAAGAGTTGTTGGAAAAGGGGCATATACAAACGAGCAATAGTCTTTTTTTTTTACATAGCCTATAACACTCTCAACATCATCATTAAGGATCAATTTACAATATTGCTCATTGATGAGCTACTTGATGAACTAGAGGGTGCCATAGTCTTTTCAAAGCTGGATCTAAGATGCAGATATCACTATATCAAAGTTCACCATGAGGACATTCACAAAATGGCTTTTCAAACTCATGATGGACACAAAATGGCTACTTGATGGGCCTGCAGCTCAATCATTAGCCAGTAACAAGCCCAAGCCCATTCCGGCTTGCCTCTCTAATCCTCGCATAAGGTGTAGTACACCAAAGAGACACGTTAGACAGTCCATTAGACTATTACAAATAGAACGTTGGAGTTAATTATAGTGTTAGGTCTTTAAGGATATAAGCCAGCTAGTGGGACTGTGGGAGGAATAAAGTCTCTTGAGTCGAGAGATCATTTTCTCTGTAGGAGGCAGAGCCCCCTCGGAGAGGCTGCTGGGTTAGACTGTTCCAAACGCATGCATATATGCAAAATATCATTTTTTTAGTATTAAAATTCTTCAGAATTAAGAGGACATTGGGATTTAGATAAAACTTTTTTTTTTTTTTTTATATTTAGCTTTGTATATTTGTTCTAACTTTTTATGGTTTATTAATATTTTAATTAAATCAGATATCCCAATCCAGATACGTAAACAAATTGGATTCAAATAATCAAATCCATGTTTTATGTATCTATCAAATTGGATATACCCCAATCCCAGTCCTACTTCCTGGCAAGGTTTTAAATTTCGCAACGTATTGGCCGATACGAGTCGAATTTACAGTGTTTCGTATCACAGGGATATACCCCTATCTAAATCCAAACCTGATATGATCCATTTGCAGTCCCAGTCCTACTTCCAAGCAAGGTTTTAAATTTCGCAACGTATCGACTGATACGGGCCAAATTTATAGGGTTTCGACTGATACGGGCCAAATTTACAGGGTTTCGGCCGATACGGCCAAAGAGTTCCAATACACGGAACATGACTAATTACAGGGTTTCGTATTTTTTCATCTATATCGGGTCAAATTTAATTGCCCTCTTCTTTTTAAATTTAAAATTAATTTATCTCTTCTCTCTCTCTCATTAATATCAAATTTAAATTATCTCTTCTCTCTCATTAATATCAATTTTAATTAAGTCTTAAAGTTTGGAACGTCACTGAATGTTAATATAATTTAATTAAATACTGATTTAAGTTACCATTGATTACAACATTTAATAATGTCATTAAATGTTATTTAAGTGAAATAACTTGTTAAAAATCACAAACCAAATGCAACAAGTTTTGAACCCAAGTCATTTGCTTATAACAAAAATTAATTAACCATTATGCCAACATTAATTACTTATTAGAAAGACGTTTTTTATACTTAAAGTCATTTGCTTATAACAAATGCTATAAATTTGATTGTTGATATTTATATAATAATAAGATGAATACAAGTTATATTGATTTATTAAAAATTAAGGTATATATTAACTTATATACATAATAAATATTATCTAATTCTATATATAATAAATATTAACTAATAAATAATTTCAAAAAAAAAATATTAACTAATAAATATTAGTATATATACAAACATTTTAGTTCTTCTATTATTTTTCAATGGTTACTAATTATATCCCGATACTTTATATAAATCATTTAAAGAATGGTTTTTATGTTTAAATAAATTAGTTATACTCGCATAAAACTCATTTTTATTACTATTCATATTTTTAAAGATATTTTTGAATTTTCTAGTGTATACATGCGTATCTTGATTTTTCGTCTATATCTATACGTTTCCAAACCGTATCTTGATACGTCTCTTAAAATTACCTTTCCGATAGACCTTGTGCTTCCGATACTTTAAACCTTGCTTCCAGCTGCTACCATTTCTTTCACAAACCACAAGCACAACAAAGTGCTACTTATAAATTCACAATTAGAGAATGGTTGCATGGAAAAATGTTACCCCTTGAATAGCTGTTTATAAACAAACTCCTATATTTTACCATGGGAGAGAGAGAGAGACGATGATCAAAATCAGAATCTTGTTTTCTCTATAATGTCCACAAAAAGATGTAAAGATCCATCAACCAACAAAGCACAGCTTAATCCTCTCTAGCTCTGAAGCAGAAATTCTTCAAAATTTATTTTATGCCCAAAGAAATTACAAGAGCAAACATTCTGCTATTATTTGATTATAAAAATACAAGCAATAAATATCTCGTAGCTCATGAATCAGGGTTAGCATATAGAGGCGCAGGCAAGAAAGGGAATGGAGCAACAGATGCAAATGCAACAGGTGGGCGTGGTTGTATGCCTGCATGAGACTCCCTTTTTGGCCTGTTCCAGCGGATACTATTCTCACTTTCCTCTGCCCAAGTTTCAGATGATGCTAACCCCAGTAGCACACCTGGATTCTTTTCTGTAAGGCCTTGCTTATCATCAGTTTTGCGATGAAATAGAAGCCCAGACATAAATACAGGAAGATACAGAAGACTGGCATGGAACATCTTTCTTGCATTTCCAGTTGTGCGGTCTCGGTAAAATGATACTGCCCCAGCACTAATTGCAAGGGTAAGAAGTGTTGATTCAAGACAAAACCATCCTGAAGTCATACCCCCTGCATATAGATTTGCATCTAAGAAGGTTAGATGGAAGGAATCATGTATAAATTTCTCCCGTCTGCAATCTGTTGGTGTCTTTGTTAAGGAAGAAATAATTGGATTTTAATCATGTCACATAGACAAAGCATTATGTTAGGCATTGTAACTCACAGTCATAGGCTAAGAATCCCAATGGAAGCAGATATAGGCAATTCCTTAATGCCACCAAGGCAGTTTTCTGACCAGAAGGATCGGCAAGAGAGAACATTCTGAACCTGTAAATGCAACATATGGTAATAATCAGTGTTTTAAAAGGGATACAGGTATGGTTATTTTGTGGAGTGCGCCACACCGGATAGACGTAACGTTTATGTTGCAATCAATTGATAAATTAATCTTTAATGTGATAAGCATGCATATAAAGTGAAAATAATATTAATAGTCTTTATTAAAGAAATCAAATTTCATCTCAAAACATGGCAAATCATCAATATCCGAAGACAATAGCATTTTAAATCTATCAAGTTCAATATTTCAAGTACAAGATTATAATACAATAAACACTTAATATAAAGCAATTGTATGTCAAAATTATTGACACCTAAAAAAGGTTATAATTTTATTCTAAAATACAATATTTAAGAAAAAGAGGGTAATTGCCTTTAATCAAGAATAAACCACAAGCTTCTTGCTTTTGAAACACGGGGCAGAATATAAGTAGGCATAATCATCAAGTTCAGGATTTACATATCGGGATCTGCTGCTCACAAGGCTATGTACAAATGGCTAGTAACCAATCACGAGTGGACACGCTAGTCTTCCGTACACATGGGACACACACCCATTTGGGTCCCAGGTGTACAGAACACTGGCGTTTCACTTGTGATTGGATATGTAGCCCATCATACATAGTTGTGCAAGCAGCAGATCCAAAGTCTCACATATGAGCTAATTATCCCCCAATCTTCACACAAGCCTACACCTACAGCCACCTATTGGCAAAAAAGGGACCCTGCAGCATAGCTTTGACCACCCATTAGGACTCTTTCACATATAGGAAATATCCTATGTCAATAAACCAACCTTGTTTACAATCCTGAACATCTAAATAGGTTTTCTGGATATTGGATATTCCACAACATTCCCCACCACAATTTCATACGAGCTCTTGCAAACATGGGGTCTGACAGGTTTGAGGAATCCTCGTTAAGCTTAATAGGATTGTGTTTTGGGCATTCAGTGGATCCATCGGTGAAAGGTTATCAGATTTCTCACAGGCACTAGCATAGCTATCCAGTGTCAATGTCAAGTCTTAGGCCATTTAAGGGGATTCCTCTAATGCTAATGGCTTCGCATAATCAAACAACAATTGAATTGGGGGGGGGGGGGGGGGCAAAATGGGGAATTTGGACCTAATTCTCTATTTATCACATAGATGTGTATTTGGATACGGGTAGCTATGGCTAACTAGTGTCTTCTGGGGTTAACACCTCCTTTGTATATCTCTTGTTTCCCAATTAATAAAGCACTATTTCCAATTAAAAAAGAAAAGGAGTTATATGGTTGATGAACCTGCAGGTTTGAGAATATGGAGGGAGTTTTCTTGTATAAGGATGTTCCTCATATCAATAGGTTTTTTTTTTTTTTAACTTTTTATGGAAGGAGGCTGTCTCATTATTTATATTTCTTGTATACTAATGTGCATCCTCACATGTACACAACATACTTTGTCTTAATACAAATATAAACCAGTACCTTCCAAACATCTGAAAAATAAGATGTAATGGATTAGAGAACCATTAAATTATTATTTGATACCTAATTTGAAGGTCCCTGATTCCATATATTATATTCAAGCTAAAAATTATAGCACGAATACATACCCTCCAGCAGCATAATCATTACGGCACAAGTATGCAAGGGCCATAAAATGAGGTATTTGCCAGAAATATAGAGCAGCTGGGAGAATCATCCCATTAATTGTGAGTTGACCAGAAGCTGCTGCCCACCTAGAATACAAATCACAAGGAAAAACACGCATCCTATGTGAAAATCAAGCAGCAAGCATGCAAAAATAAATAAATAACACTTTTGAAGAATAGACTTCAAATTGAAATGTTAATACCATTCACATTCTAACAGGAATTAATGATTTCATTAATAAGATCAATCAGTACGGAATTCAACTTCCATTAAAGAACCCAAAGGAGAGAAAATATTCAAAGGATTTCATCAACAAAACCAAGAAAAGATATTGACAACTATGCACTATGCAGACAAAAAATGAGTTAATACTTTGCCCAAAGATGTAATGACAACAAGAGAAAAGATTTCACGGGAAGAAAGAAAATGCCAGGTTGCCCTGCCAGTATAGTCCATTTACATCTCAGACCAGACCTAAAAATCTAGCCCCAGAATTATTGCCCAAATAATCTTTTCATCTCCTTTCCCATGAGGGAAATTTTAGAACAGCAACGAATTAAAAGATCTTGTCCATATTGTCCATACGGGTATGGTATATAAACAGATCATGCAGTGAATTCTGCATAATTGTCACATCTGTATATGAAGATATGTGGAATTTAAGCTACCAGTCAACCATAAATTCTGCTCCATGTGATTCCCTGGATGTCATGGGAATGGCACCTTCTTGGACTCTGAAGAGACAATATATTCATGCCTAATTGACCAGAGCATTAGTCTTCTCTTAATAGTGGGAAATTCCTTACAATCCCTTTCTTACGGTCTTTTACTACTTTTTTTTTCTTTTCTTAAACCAGCAACACAATCAATAAGAAATTTATTAACCAAAGAAAAAAGAGAAAAAAAAAACAAATACAACAAATAAATCCAAAGATTTCATACAAGGAGAGCATGGGCCAAAGCACCATAAAAAATCCTAATCAACCTAGAGCATGAGCCCTTAACCTGGGATTGCTTCCCTCCTATGACAGACTTTACCTTCAAATTTCCCATCTATCAAGGCTATCAGCAAATCTATTAGCCAACTTTGGAATCAAACTGAATGGGCTGTTAATTTTAGATTTCATGAGTCTTTCCTCTCTAATATAGTGCTAAAGTTTCAATGGGCCATCAATTATAAACATCCATCCACTAATACCCCCTGGGAATCAACTTCACTACTAGTTTATCCAGACCTAGAGATGCAACCAAACTTAGCTTGTGTAACAAATGTAGGCTCTTTTTTTAAAAAAAAAAAAAAATTAAGGGGTAGGGGATCAGAAACAGAAATCAAGGAGTTTTATTAATATAAGAAGGATAAACTCTCCATCAGTCTTCACTGCATAGATTGAGAAGAGACATTATAGACAACCTAAGGCTGACTCATCATAGACTGCTTATGGGATTGAGCATGTGATAAGACAGGATTTCTGCTCTTAGAGAATCTTCTTCACCTGTTCAAGTCCATGTATGCCAGAAGACATCCACATTAGCTCACCCGTCTCCCCTACTACTAAATCATTTTTTTAGGGATTAAGAATTTAAGACCCTAACATGGAATTATTTGGGCTTGCCTCAAGGGGCTTGGTACAATGGCAGCTTGTCTTCTAGAATTAGGAATGAAAGATGTAGCATCAAATTAACTATTTGAAATAATGCAATTGAGAAAGAAATAATGAAATAAAAAGCTTGGCATGCTTGAATATGTTTTGTATGCTATTATTTTATTTTATTTTTACATTTTTCTGTTTGAATATGTTTTATATGTTATGTTTATGTATTTAAATTTGAGTTAATAGGCTTTTTTAAAATATTTAGTTTATAATTAAAGTTTGATTTTTTTATTATACTATTTTTAATATTTTCTTAAATTTATTTTGAATTTTTTTTTACTTTTTTTGCAATTTTTTTATTTTTTCTTAATTTTGCACCTTACACTTTTTTGCGCCTTACACTTTCATAGGAAGAGAATATAGTTCCCCCATATTCCTACGAAGGTTGCATTCCAACTTGAACTGCAACATCAGGGAAATGTCTCAGAAAGGGTGATTATGGAATGTGTTGTGTTATCAAGAAAGGGAGACAGCAGACCACATATTCATTAGGTATATTTTTGTTAGTAGAATTTTTAAGTACTGTAGCTAAATTGCATCCAGTGCCACTCAAGAAATGTGGAGGAGCACTTGAAGGGGTGGAATATTGTAGCAATGGGGGAAAAAGGAAAATCCTTTGGAGTAAAACACCCATTATGGAAACATGGGTATAGAAAGAAAGAAACCAATAAATATTCGAGAATAAGACGACATCACAGGAAGGGGTCATTCATAGGGATGCAGGTACTTTACACTCTTCGCTGGCAGCCCACAACAGTTCTATAAGATTCTGCATCATGCTTTCTTCATGATAGCACACTGTTTGTATAGAACTTTACTAGGGAGATCTTGGTTTGGGCATTTGTAGGAGTCCTTGTTTCTAGCATGTCTTGTGTATAGTCTTACTCACCTTCTTATGTACATGACCTATACTTGTATATACTCATTAGGGGTGATCATGGACTAGTCTTAGCACCAATGATAAGGGCTTTAAGCTAGACCCAGGGCCAGCCTGGCCTGCACCCCGGACCAAGATTGCAAGCCCAAGCCAAGCCCTACACGGTAGGGGTGGCAACCAGCCGAGCTTTTCACGAGCTGCTCGAGATCGACTCGTGAGGCTCGCAAGTCGGCTCGAATATATATATATATATATATAGAAAATAATATATGTAATAAAAATATTATAATTATTAATTATTATAATTCTTATTTTTTAAATATCAAATAAAAAATATTTATATATATAACTTTTTATTTTTGTAAAATATTTTTTCTCAAAATCGAGCTCGAGCTAAGTCGAGCCGAGCTCGAGCTTGATCTCGAGCCTTGTAGAATAGTCTTGAGCCGAGCTCGAGCCTCATACTATTCGGCTCGGCTCGACTCGAATCCACCCCTACTACACGTGGCCTAGGCCGGGGCTGGGGTTATGGGCTTTCTAGGCCTAATGAGTAATGACTTTGGGCCCATGAAATCAAATAATAAAAATTTATTTATTTAAATTTTTAAATTAAATAACATGTAAATATAATGCATGCAAAAAAAATTACACAAGGCCTATGGCACAAAAAATAAGGCATGGACCTCATTTAATTGCTAGGCTTGATTTGGATTGGATTACCTATCCTTTTATAGATGAAGGCAAGGCTTCATTCCCATTCTTGAGCATAGTGGGACTTGGAATAACGTTAATTAGTTAGTGCAACCATTGATGTTTTCCCAATTTCGACATTGCTTAGGGAGTTAGAATGAATACTTTGCCTTCATCTATATAAGGCCTTCCTTAGGAGGACAATTCTCATACTTGAACTGACTCAAGTGTTGACATGTTTCAATTCAAAAATATTTATTTATATGTTAAAATAAAACTTAAAACTTTTATATTTTATATAAAATAATAAACGCTTAATATAAAATTAAATATATTTGTGTGTGTGTGTATATATATATACATTGCGAGCCAGGCCGGGCTTAAAGTATTAGGCCCAAGCTTGGCCCGGAATTTTCCAAGTTTGATGCAGGCCCGAAAACTTGCGGGCTGGATCGGGTTGGGCCAAGAATGATCACCCCTAATACTCATAGTAGAATCATAGTGTAATTGCAGAGCTCTGGGTTTGGCTTCTATCTTTTTTTGGGTATAGTTGGGATATGCCAACAGAAGTAAGCACAATCTCTAACCCTTCTTTTTTCTCTTGGCCCCATAAAAGAGGAAGGAAAATGTGGAGATGCACGCGAGCAGCATTGTTATGGACAGTATGGGAAGAAAGGAATGCCAGGATCTTCCAAGAAAAAGGGAGGAACAGTCAAGCCTTGAAGGACTGCATTATGCCCAGGTCAATACATTGGTTAAAGACTCTAGAATTATTTAGCCATTTCTCTTTTACTGATTGTTGGAAGGATTGGAAATTCGTAGCAAGCTGTTCCTCCTACAAGGAAAGGGCAGTGACTAGCTGGGTCCCCCCTCCTCTTGGTTCTTTGAAGCTGAATTTTGATGGGAGTAGCCAGGGTAACCCGGGTCCCTTTGGGATGGGAGGTGTACTGAGGAATGAGGCTGGAGAGGTTGTCTTACTCTACTCGAGCCCTTTAGGTGTTGGGAACTCTATCCAGGCAGAACTGTCTGCTGCAATACAAGGAATACTTCTTGCAAAAGAAGTGGGCGTGGAGCAGCTTCTGATTGAAGGGGATTCTAAGATAGTGGTGGACTTGTTAAATAATCCAGAGGATGTCACTTGGGGCTACAAAAATAAGTTAAAGAAATTCAAATGGCTGACAAGAAATATGTCTATAACAGCACAGTGGGTTGGGAGATCAGCTAATGCATTTGCAGATGTCTTGGCTAAACAAGGGATAAATAGGGAAACATTGTTCTGGGCACAACTGTAACTTTTGTTTTAACATCAACATTCATGTAATTTCTGTTATAGTTCTTGTATTTGCTGTTAGGAGAGGCGACACCTCGCACCTCTAAAGGGATTTTCTTGTAACCAATCATTAATTTAATGAAATGAATTTATTTATCAAAAAAAAATCATAACTCACAAGTACAATGCTATAGTTTACCTTTTCTCAAACAAAAAAAACTCTCATTAGGTTTCCACTTTATGTGAGGAGAAAAACCACCTAAAGATTGTTTATAAAACTTGGCTGATTATGGTTCCATGCACATCATTAATTCATAAACTTCTAACAAAATCTTGATTCTGTGTGGGGGATGAAACCATCTACAGCTTTATTCATAATAATTAAAGAAGAATCTATTTGTCTGTCCACTCCTTGTGGCTTTTCTCACACTAAAGAGGAAATATGCACCAAAATTTAGAAAATTCCACAGTAAAGATATACTTGGTTTATTCTGTTCATTTACACTTCTAAATCAGAACCAAAAGGTTATCTTTACTCATAGTAAACATGTAATTAGAAGAATGTTTATAAGATATTCTGAATGGGAACTATCCAAATACTAAAAAAACCCAGTTACTAGTCTAATTGGGTAAGTTATGCTATTTGAGAAATCTAACAAAATTTTTTCCCACTAAGACATTGATACAGCCATACAGGAAGTAGGGATTAAACTTTCCATTTCCTAAAATTCTGAACACAGATATGGGTACAGGTATCCCATGTAACATGCTTATCATTTAAATGTAGTTTCTGAAGTTATATGTCATTTCTTAAGACGTGTGTCTTGCCAAATTTAATTATGTTTCAAACATGTGCAAATATTTTCATAGCATAATTTGTTAAAACATACCTGATACCACTTTATATATTTTAGATGTGTTTAATGATATAGAGTACATCTTGATGTATCCATGCACTATTTGGTATCATATCTAATAAGTATTCGATCTGATGTATTCTAGGCATGAACAGCGGGTATCATAGCTTGGCACCCATTTAATTCTTCTCTCAAGGCCCTTATTAGGCTGCTAATCTCTCTTAAAGTGACCTGTAATGCCATGTGCCTTGACAATTGTTCCTTATATCACACAACTCAATAATCACCTTCCACTGCTGTGTTCCTTAATTGTTGTCTTTACCTCAACCTTAGGACTTGTAGGACAATCATCAACTCTTGTAAAGTCCCCAAAGCCTATAGAGCTTAAATATAAAACCATCACAGCCCCATGGATGTCTTTAACCACACCTCTAATACCTGAATTGCCAGGGTCCCAAGGAACATCCATCAAAGTTGAGCTTTAAATGGTTTTTATTTGGCAAAGCACCATTCCTTTAACATTCTGGTTCTAGCCAATACGTGCTATAACCTATCAACCTCTAATAATGCCATTTTTTATAACAAATAAAAAAAATAATGTCATTTGTAGAAAACTGCACAATATTTTCAAAGATTTGACCCAATATATTACTTTTATGGTGATGTTTTCTATTATGGCTTTCTTGGATAGCGACTTCTTGCATTCCTCTCCTCTCAAACCATCCAAAGAATAGTAGCTTTGGTGCATCTCCATAGAATTTTGCCCCTTTTTCTAGCTGGACTGAAAAAGGAGGTAAAAAAGATACTCCTTACATCTACTTATCAAAGAAAAAAAAAAACTCCAAACATCATCAAGATGGGATCACCTGCTACCAAAGAGAGCAAGAAACCACTCCCAAATGCTAAGTTCAAAATTGTCTCCCCTCCTAAAATTCACCTACATTAAGAACTCCATGAATGTCCAAAGAGAATTCAGAATTGATAGAAGCTCAATGTCACCCAGCTGATTCCTGTAGGACCAATCTGTAGCTGCTACAGTGTTTTAAAAGAAAAAGGTGCAAAAATAGAACAAGGGCCATTTTGTGCCCGAGGCGTAAAATACACACCTTTTTGAAGCAAGGTGCAAAAATGCAAAAATTTAAAAATAAAATAAAAAATTACAAAACAATTCAAAAAATAGGGCAAAATTTTAAAAAGTGCAAATTATTAAAATATTAAACACATTACTAATTAAAAATACAAACTTAAATATTAAAATAAATGATTAAAAAAGCCTATTATCTCAAATTAAAATACATAAACATAACATGTAAAAAATATCTAAAATAAAAAATTAAATATAAAATCAAGCATAACATATAAAACATTTTGAAGCATGTAAACTCTTAACTCTTTATTTTTTTTTCCAATTGCATTATTTCAAATAGTTAATGTGATGTTAAACATTATGCATTCTTGATTCTATGAGCCGCCTTTGTACCAAGCCCCTCAAGGCAAGCCCAAACAAGTCCATATTGTGCATTCTTTGATTCTATGAGCCGCCTTTTTATAACTTTAAGTGTCTCCTAAAAGTATCTTTTATTAGGATAAATGAATGAGCAACATTAGCAAATATGGGGTTTTTGGAGCTTCAATGAGCAAGTGAAGTGCAAGGCGCACAAGCAAGGTGCATTATTTCACCAGGCATGCACGTTTTGAAATTACTCTGCCTAGGACCTAAGCGAGGCACATACCCTAAAATGCACCTTGCCTGTGCACCTAGGTGCACCTTTTAAATCACTAAGCTGCAACAAATAGAATCACAAGTCACAGCCTGCCAACAATCGCAGAATCCTCCTTCACCTTTGAGCTCCTTCCTTGTAAGCACCTAGTGTGTTACCCTTGTGCTCATCAGGTCAGTAGTAATGTTTTCATCCTATCCCTCTTAAAACGTTATGGTACTTCTTTCATGCCATGTAATCCACAAAAATAACTGCTACCTCAATAGATCCTTACTATCATTGTGGAGGAGAAAGGAAATGAACCTAAAAGGACCAAAACCAAAGCTGGAGAAGTCCTTTGAGGGCCAAACAAAGGAAGTAGTTCCATATGTTGGCATTGTAGAGGAAAGAAAACATAAGCAGGTAGCATTCTCAACTTTACTCTGGCAAAGAATGCCAGACATGTGGAGATAGATGCTAGTCCTTCCTTTTACATTGGCATATCACAGAGGTATTGATAATTCTAAGTTCAGTTTGCCAATAAAAGTCTTTAGTCTACAGTACATTAGGCCATTGCCACAAGTGACAAGTTTTTAACTGGGAAAGACTTTTTTTAAGTAATAAAATAATATGTATTAAGAAAAAGAAGATTACAAGGAAGATGACCAGCAGTCACCTGAGAGAAAAGAAAAAACAACTTCCCATACCACACTCCAGACCAACAAAATCAAAACAAAATAATAAACATAAAAACTCTTCAGCCAGAGAAAAATGACCAAAACAAACCACCAATTTGTACCAATCAAAATACCACAAAAAAAATCTAAAGAGGAAAAAAGCGGAAACAGAGAACCTCTTTGCTTCTTCTATATAGCTTTCTTTGGTGACAACCCCTACCTGTCCAGCAGAGTTCGGATTTCCATGATTTTCTTCATTCCTTGAAAAAACTTCTTCTGAATCTTCACTGGCATTATTATTAACTGGAAAAGACTGTTGGGCATGGGGATCCAATAATTTCAAAAATGAAAACCAAGAAGAGGCACTTATATGGCCAGTTGTTCAAATCCTTTTATCAGACTCCCCAGGTTTAAGGAAAACACCTCTATTTTTCTGGCCAACTGGACATCAGGACATTAATGTCATTTTACATCTTCCATACATGGGGTAGCAGTCCCAGAATGACAGGGAAGGTCAAAAACATTTATCAGAAATAGGAAGGCCAGTGAACTTTTTCCAAAAGCGTAGGGAATATGGGTGTAAATGCACCCTTCATGAAATCATCAAAAAGGTTACAGAAACTTCAATTTCCACAGAAACACGTGCATAAAAAGATAATAAGGAAAACTAATTACAGCCTAGACTACAATGGGGAAAGGCAAAGTTCATAGTTCAAAATAAAAGATTTTACAACTAATGAATAAGCACTAATTAAAGCTTCCAGAAAAAAAAGGTATATATTTGTCCAGAAAATGGTATATAAATATATGTTTGATCTTTCAGGGATAGGGAGTTACCCAAGAAGTGGAGGAATGGCACCAACAACAGCTCCAACCCATGTATTTATTGGGTGTATTTGCTTTAAAGGGGTATAAACAAATGCATAAAGAGCAAGATTAGAAGCTGCAAGTCCTGCTGCCAAGAAATTAGTCTGCAACAACCTTGTCACATAAGTTTTGGAACCATGAGTGTCTAATCTCATCAACCTTTTGGAAAAGAGGTTTAAAACAAAGCTGGGTAAATAAAATATCCACACACCTTGCATGCCAGTAATGCTGTGCCAGCAATACCTATAGTAGATGCCCAAATGGCTGCATGAGGAATTGAGATACGTCCAGAAGGTAGTGGTCTTTGCCTTGTTCTCTTCATTTTAGCATCATTGTTTATCTCAAAGACCTAACATACACCATGAGATGATCAAACTGAAATTCAAGTTTCTCTGGGCTGATTCACAAAAAAAGAGAAGCTTTGAAATTCCAACAAAAAATATTGGCCTATTCAACAGAAAATTAAACAAGTAAATATAGCCTACTTTTTTAAGAAGCAAAAATCTTTTTCTCCCATATCCAAAAACTAAGTTTGGTTGTGCTAATGTCAGCCTACAAAAAAAGAGGGCTACAGGATCATGATGATTTTGTACAAGACAGATGAGTATGGAAGGTGGAAGCTGACTTCTAGGGCAACTGGTTTTAGATTGGTGGTTCGGAATCTGTAAATATCAGTTTCTTTTGGGGCTGTTAGTTCATCTAGTTTGGCACTGGCTACTGTAGGGGCTTTTGGTGGTTCCTCCTTTTCTATTGTGATATGGGCTGGCCTTTTTAACACTATCTATTTGGGTTTCGAGTTTTGTCTTTTGGTGTTTAAATAGGTGAAGTTTCAGATCTTGGTTGTGAAGGTTGTTTGCCTGTAAATTGGGGTACTGATTGATGTTTTCATGGGTTGGATCTTTTTATTTATTAAGATTAACTGTCAACCTCAACAATAATCCTCTCAAAGCTCATGGTGGGCAACCTGAAGCTTTGGAGAAAGGAAAAGGGTTATGCTATCATCAAAGCATCAACTCCCATGGACCCAAAGTGGACCAAGGGGCCGTTTGGCAAGTCTTTTTGGGAAGATCTTCTGGTAGCTCTGACGGTCAAAAGACGCATTGAGCTTTTGCATGAAGATTTGAGCAGCCCGAAGCTAGTTTAGCTACTGCACATCTTTCCGTGTGAGAATAAAGCAAGAAAGACACAAAAAGCTCCATTTGGAGCTTCCCGAAATCAGCCCAAAATGGGCTTCTCGTGTTTTTTCAGCGCACCGACTTTTGGCGACTAGATCTGTTACAAACCAAATGGAAAAAGACCGCGGCACGGTCTGCCCAGCTTGTAAAAAGCCGAAAGACCGCACGGAAAGATGCACCAAACGGGGCCTAAAACAACCACATCTTTGCCATCCAAGAAAACTCCACTAATCCAAAAAGGCACATGATCCCTAATATTGTGTCTGCTTGCACTACAAATAAATTTTTACTGATGCAAAACTATGGCAGTGGAAATTATGAGTGCAATTTCTTTTTTTGATCAATAACACAATTCATTAAATAATCTCAATAATAATTACAAAGAGGAAGACAAACTTTCTTATCTTCCACCTGCAGCTTAAACCCCAAGGAAGGAAAAAAGAGAAGGAGAAAGAGAAATAGAAAAAATAAAATTACAACTGTGCCCAAAACATTGACTCCCTCTCCATCCCTTGTTTAGCTAACCCATCCGCAAAAGAATTAGCTGATCTTTTTACCCAACTGATTTTAACTTCCATTTCTCGAACCAGCCATCTGAATTTCCTCCTCACATTGATGTAATTCCATAAGCCATTGTTGTCTTTATTCAGCCATCCTACCACCACCTCCGAGCCCCCTTCAATTATGAGTTTTCTGATATTCATCTCCCTAGATTTCTAGATTCCTTCCATAACTGCATGGATCTCGGCTCTGAGAGAGTCACCCACTCCAATTGGGCCTGAGAACATGGAAGAAATAGCCCCATCTCATCCCTGAAAACACCCCCAATCCCTGATTGTCCAGGATTCCCTCTGCAACTCCCATCAAAGTTTAGTTTTATGAAACCCGCAGGTGAGGGGGTCCAAGACACACTCATCACTGTTTTGGTCTGGGTACAGTTCACAATCTCACCCCACTTCCTCAACATGTCATCCACTGTATAATCTGTGAATAGCTCTAGAGATTTCATCCACTCTACGACCCGTATATGGATCAGAGCCCTCAGTTCCCAACCTGACCCCAAATCCTTCTCAGAAGTAGGACTGTTTCTGTGGACATTCTCCTTTTTTTGTAATGAAATAAAATTTATTAAAAGAAAAAAGAAGGTTACAATGGAGGTACCAGAAATCACCCAAAAGGAAAGAAAAAACAAACCAAAAACTCTAAACCAAAAACTAACCATACATGAGCAAAACACTCAAGACACCAAACTCTGTGACCAAAGGACATCCAAACAAACAACCAAACAACTAAACAGCCCCCCACAAACATCAACTCCCATACAACAAGCTCAAACAAGCAAAAAACCACCCCATCTGAGAAAAATAAAGAAAACAAACCCTAACAGAAGTTAATTATCCAGCAACCTGAGAAAAAACAATCAAGAACAAGACCTCTCTACTTCTTCAAAACTTTCTTTGATTTCACCACCTTCTTGCTTGGCCCAATCCCATATAAGACCCCCTTTCAATCTAGCAAAAACTTTTGAAACCAAAACACTTTAATGTTTTCTGACTTCTGAATCTTCTCACTGCAGAGAAGTCTTCCTGAAATCCTTCAGAAACTTAGAATTCACATTAATCCTTCCCAACTCCAAAACTGTGTTCTTCTAAAAAATCTGACCTGGAACCAACTCTTCATCCTCTTCATTGACAACCCCTACAAGTCCAGTTGATCTCAGATCATTGTGAGTATCTTCAGAGCCTACATCAGACTTGCTCATAGCCTTTCCATATTTCCCTTTTTTTTATCAATAATACATTTCATTGATCAATCAGAAATATTAATTACAAAGGAGATAAACTTTCTTATCTCCCCCAACTTTCCAATTCCTTAAAAGTTCTCCTTGCAAATTCCTCTCCACCTATAAAGATAGCAAACCCAGAGACTTACTCACCTCTACCTCTTTATTCACCACGGTCTCCAAATCAATAGATCTCTTCCCTGCAACGATTTGTTTTATAATTTCATTTTCTTTTATAAACCTTTGAGCATGATCTTGTTATGTTGGTTCATTCTTGATTTCTTTTTCTTGCTCGACTATCTTCAATCTCCACAACATCATCAACCCCCTGAAATGTCAACTCCTGTTCACCTTTGCATTCTTTTCCACTTTCATCTGAGACACCATGATCCTCATCCTAACATCACCACTCCTCACCTTTTCAGGTTCACTTTCTAACCCCTTTCCTCCTTCTGGTGTCTCCCCTGTTGGTTTTTCAAACTTCAAACCCTCTCCTTTTCTTTCTCCTTCCCCTACTCTGTCCCCCCCCCCCATCTGTATCTTCAACCCCAACCCCTCCCACTGTTTTCATGGTATGATTGCTTACCCCCAACCCTTTTTTTTTCTCGGCTGGTCTCATGCATATCAATTGTTGCTTCAACTAGAATACCACTATTTTTAGTCGCTTGAACAATTTTACCTCCTACCTCCTCATCTTCTATAACGATCACACCCCTTGACTTGGTCTCTTGGATTGTCACTTTCACACAGGATTCTTCTAATTTTCTTCTCAACCTCGCCTCAGTTATATCTTTTCTTGTCTCTTTGAATATTCTTCCCTTTTAACTTTGTTTTGATTTTATTCTTCTAGGGCTTAATTAAAGTTTGCTGAAATCCATCTGCACTAATTTAGCTTGAAGAAGTTCATGAGTACCACAGGAAGCAATTTTTAACTAACCAGGAATTTAGGATGATGAAAATATCCATCCAAAAAAAAAAAAAGGATGATGGAAACCACAAGATTCTTTTTTATTTTGTCAAAGATGTATATTTAGTCCCTCCTTCAATGATATTAAGTTAAAAGAGGTTGCCCTAGACTTTACATGGATCAAGGTAAGGACAATGGATGGATGACTATTGGTTGGACTGGAGCCCTTGGTCTCTTCAAAAGCATATTAAAGAGGCCAGATCCTTGGTACCCAGAGTGAATGTCTCATTCAAATGAATATGGAGATCAGCCAACAATTAGATGATAACTTTTGTAGCGGTGGTATAGGGAAGAAACAAAAAACAAACGACACCCTATACATTTAATCTATCATTAATATAACCTTACTCTTTAAGTACGTTAAACAATAAATTCTAACTTGCGTAAGTATGTTAAACAATGGAATTCTGCATGTCAAAAGCGGTAATGTCTAGAGTATATAAACCGGTATCTCATCATTATCCATGCCTTATCCCAACTATATGGGGTAGGCTACACGAATTTTGTTTTACCAATCTGTTCTATTTAAAGCCCATGTCCTTTTTGGTCTACCCCGAGCTCTTCTATCCCCTTCAATGTGTAACAAATCACTTCCTCTAGCCCCTTCTATGCACGTGCTCAAACCATCCTAGTCTACTCTCTTTCATTTTATCACCTATTGGAGCTACTCTTAGGTTCCTATGGATAACTTCATTCCTAATCCTATCCTTTCTATTTATCTACTCATCCATCTTAGCATTTCTGGACATGTTGTTTCTTGACTACCCAACACTCTGCTTCATACAACATAGCTGGCCTTACAACCGTTTTATAGAATTTTCCTTACAATCTAAGTGGTATTTGCCTATCACATAAAAGTCCAGATGCACCCCTCCATTTGCCCATCCTGCTCTAATTCTTTGGGTGACATCCTCCTCAATCTCTCCCTTGTTATGAATTATTGAACCAAGGTACCAGAAATGATCACATTGAATTATCTCTTGGCCTCCAATCCTAAGTGTATCTTGATTTACACTCCTATTATTACTATATCTACATGTCATATACTCTATTTTAGTCCTACTTATTTTAAAAAACCTCTTGTTTCTAAGGCATTTGTTCATAAGCTTAATTTTGCATATAAACTGGTATAAAAAAACGAAAATCGAAGAATAAGCAAATGATCTTGTTATCAATGCACTACTCTAAAATTAGAAAAGATGCCCAGTCATTTGTGTAGATGCAACAGCAATGAATTGGTGCTGACACTTCTTGCAAATGTGGAATATGAGATAATGAGACCAAAGGGATCCATAATCTGCCAACTATTCTCTATCCACATGTTATGTCATCCCAGAAAACATATATTGCATGACAACATACATTAAAAGTATGGGTTGACATGAATGAAAGAAGAGTTCAGATGGTCAATCCAGATGCCTACTCTCCCATGTATAGTTTAGATTTGCAAAAATGAAGTCATGTAACAGAAACAACTTGTACTAACAAGAAATGGATTCTGTTGTTTCCGATCAGAATGCTTACTAGATCCAGTAGATAACCATCATGGAAGAGCACAATTTGTTTTACCATGGTTAAAGTACTCACCTGATTTAAGGAGTTAGCAGATGCTGCAACCATCATGGTACCCGCACAAGTACAACAAAGTCCTGCAACATCAATAGCACTGCCACTCCCAAGAACAAAGCCAGCTCCAGAAGTTGCAACCACTAGCATGCTACAAACAGGAAAGGTTGGGGATCTAATTAGTCATTAAATGGTTGTATAAAAATACCCAATATATGTGCATCCATGTACACATTGGGAGTGGAGGGAGGGAATTTCTAATTCTAGCAGATAAATCTCAAAAAAGAGAAAGAAAGGGAGAGGGAAGCTAACCAGAAAATATATAACAAGTTACAAGCATGCCCTTCTTGCCTATAAAACTATTTAAAAAGTTGCCCCTAGGGGAATATTAAGAAATTCATCCTAGTGATAGTCAATGTTAACAATTACAAAATATAAAAGAGAATGCCACCTGGCTTACTAAACTATATGCTTTTAAGCACTCAATATTGATGGGAAAAGATCCTTAGTACTTTATAGTTTGTAAGTTGCAACATATATATACAAGGAAACACAATTGAAACTCAGAAAATATTAATGTTTTTTCATCATAAAGAGGTTAGAATTTACAATATTTTTTTAGAGAGAAAAAAGTTAACTTGTTATAGAAGAAAAAAAAGAGTACATGAGATGATGTACAAAGGAGGCTACACACAGGTTACAATGGCATGATTATATCACTGTACAAGTTATCCCTGTGCATTCCAGATTTAGCTAAGCTATCTGCTACAGAGTTTAAGCAGCAACAAGAAAGATCTCTCGTAATACAGAGGCCGTTAAAGCCACTTTATTGTATTGCTGGAGTCTCCTTTGATTGCTAGATCAGTCAAGAAAGATCTCTTGTAATACAGAGCCCATTAAAGCAGCAACAATTTCAGCCATTGGAGTTTGTAGTCCCAATTGGTCTACTAAAAGCCCACATAGGGCATCCGTCCCTCCTCTGAAACACACCACCAACTCCTGCTGTTCCTGGGTTTCCAATTGCACTTCCATTAAAGTACAGTCACATCATTTTCCTCTCCTAGATGGGGGAGGCTTTTCACTTTTGAAGGACTGGGTGAGGAGAATAACACTTCCACCACATTCTGCTGAAGCATTTTCGTAGTAATTCCTTTGAAACTCTCCGAATTCAGCACCCACACATTGCAAAAGTTATATGAGAAAACAGGTCTCAGAAGGTTCTAGCTTTGTTGTCAAAAATGCAATTGTTTCGTTCTTCCCAAACACCCCACAAAACTGCTTGAGCCACCGTGTGCCAGTAGATTCTCCTCCTTTTACCTAACCCTCTTCCTTGCCATTGTCTCAAGAAATCTTCAATATGTTCCAGGAAAACCCAGCTGTAACCAACTAGGTTAAGAAAATAAAGGCAGATCTTCCTTGTTATACTGAACAATACAAAAGGAGATCTTCAGCTGATTCACCACTACTAAGGCATAGGGTGCAGACATGGGGCAACGGGCGAGAAGGCAAGCCTTCCGCACAAAACAGGAAACTCTAGGGGGGGATGTGAGCTATTCAAACTCTTCTACAAGGGAACCCTGAGCTTGTATCACCCAACACCAAGGCTCTGAAAAAGGAATCAGTTGTGAACTTACCAGCAGGATGGAGCTTCCAGATTTGTTGTTCTTGGTTTGAGGGGGAAACATAGACCTCTCTTAAGGCATGTAAAAGATCTGCAAGATCATTAATCTCTACATCTCTGAAGGGTCTTCTTAGGTTTAGATTCCAGCTTGAAACGGGGGGTTGTGTCTGAAATGCAAGAGGCTAAGGTGGCATTTGATAAATCTGAAATCTGAAGTCTGAAAAGTTAAAAAGATATTAAAAGTGTCTGAAATCTGAAAAGAAGCATAGATGCTTTTCTACTTTTTAGAAGATTTGAATAGATAATGTTGTTTGTGTTGGATCAATTCTACAACATCTGAAATTGCTTTGTTTTACTATTTTACCCCTGGAACAGGCTATTTTGTAATTGTGAATGCAGTTAGCACTATTTCATATAAAATAACTTATCAATTTCAAAATAATATCGAAATTATACATAAAATTAATAAAAATAATTAATCACTAATAAAAATATTAAAATGATTAAATTTTAATAAAAATTAATCAAATTAATAAATAATTAATTATTAATAATATTGAAATAACACGAATAAAAATAATAATTGATAATAATTACTAAAAATAATTAATAAATATAAATACCACAATAAAAATTAATAAAACTAATTAATCACTAATAAAAAATAATTAATGTTTAATAAAAAATATTAAGATTATTAGTAATTAATAATTAGTAAAAATAATTTATAATTAATTATTATTATTAATACTCAACCGCTGCACAGAAGAGGGAGAGAGAGAGAGAGAGAGAGAGAGAAAGGTTGAATGGATTCACGAGAGAGCGAAAACACAAGCGGCATTGTTCCTTCCCGTCCCTGAGAGCGAAAACACGAATGACCTAGGTTTTTTGGGTTGGGGTTACACAGGGGTAAAGTGTGTCATTTTAGGAAAAGTTGAAGGGTAATTTCGACCATGCACCGGCTCTGAAATGCGTCTGAGTGCGTTAAGAGTCGGCCCGCACACTATGATTTTCAGATGTGAAAACAAAATTCAGATTAGTTTTAAGAGGAGACACCAAATGGGTCCAAGGTCTAAAAAGCAACGTTTTCAAACCTCAAACGTATGAAAAGTGCAATCAAACGCCACCTAAGGTAGCTCCTTTGTTTTGGGAGAGGTTAAATAAGCGGGGGAAGTTGATAGCTAATGTGTTTTCCCCCCACCAAAGGTCAGTCCAGAACTTGATTTTAGCCCCATTCCATAGTTGTCAAGGCATCGCCTAGGCAACTAGGTGCCCGCCTAGGCAACTAGGTGCCCGCCTAGGCAACAAAAATGACAAGGCGGGTGCCTTTTATAATATCATTTATATTGTTGTATCCTATTAATGTATGTGTTAATACATTTTATTATATGCTATATATATCAATATACTTTGTTTTAATGTTTTACTATTGAAATTTAAATGATCAAAGGGTTTTGAGGAGAGAAAAAGAAAGAAAGAATAGAATTATAAAGATATTCTTCTTTTTTCAATTCTGTCTCTCTCTCTCTGAAACTAAATAAAATAGAAACTCCATCCTTGTTTTTTTTTTGTATTTTACTTTCCATCTTGAATATTTATCATATAAGTTAACCTTTTTTAGCTGCTAATTGATATGAAATTTCTCTATTAAATCCTAATTATAGTTAATATATGCAAAAGATTTTTATCTTTTAGATATGATGATTTGCCACATTTTTAGAGGAAATTTAATGTTCTTATTAAAGAGAATAGCTATTTTTTCAATTAATATGCATGGTGAATGGTATATAAAACTAGGGAACTAGCCAAAAGTTAGATTTTATATTATAAAATTTTATCACCTAGGCAACTAGGCAACTAGGTGCCCCAATGTCACCCAGAATCACCTAGATATCTAATAAAAGAAATAAAGATACCATAAATTGAGCAAATACCATTCCAAGGATTAGTGGAATTTGTTCGATTCAAGTAGACCGTGCTATCCCAACCGTTGGCATTCTTTCTATACTTGCTATTGATGACCAAGGCCCAAAGAGTAATTGATTCGAGAGGATAATGCCATAGCCATTTCCCCAAAAGAGCAACACTTCTTTCCTTGATCTTTCCTATTTCAAGACCCCTAGCTTCCTTTGGTCTACAAACTAAGTCCCAACTGACTAAACGGTTTGTCTTCTCTCCACCTCCATCCCACCACTACAGCTTTTCAATTCTGTTTTTGATCTTGGTCAGAATCTAGAACACCGAGAGATAGTAAATGGGTATATTAGCCAAAGAGGTCTTGATTAAGGTGAGTCTTCCTCCTTTTGAAAAATAACCTTTCTTCCACGTAGCCAACCCTTTTTCACACTTTTTTTGATAAATGAATAATAATTTTATTAATAATAAGAAAGGAAGTGTACATTCACCCCAAGAGGAGGCACGGGATGTTACCTCCCCTTGGAGGTGAAAGCATAATCAAACTCTTAACAGAATACAATCATAGGGAAGCACAAAAATAATTCAACCCTTGAGACCCCTTGTTTGGCCAAAGAATCAGCCATGGCATTTGCTGATCTACTGACCCACTGAAAGCTGACTGACATATTCCTTGTGAGCCAATTAACTTTCTTAAGAAGATCCCTATAGCCCCAGAAAACTGTTTCTGGACTCAACAACCAACCCACTACCACCTTAGGATCTCCCTCAACTATCAGATTTTCCACTCCTAGTTGGTTGGCAACCTGTACTCCTTGTTCTGCAGCCAGTATCTCAGCCCCTTGTAGAATCACCAACTCCTATCGGTCCTGAAAATAGGGCTAGAATGTTGCTATCCTTTTTCCTTTTGAAGGATAAAAAGAAAAAATTCATTAAAACAAAAGACTGATTAAAGATGGCAGCAGGTGTTGAGAAAGCACCCGGAACAACACAAGCCAAATACAACGAAAATAAAAAAGAAACAAGAAGAGGGCGACACAATCTCTAGAAAACTTTCAGTAAAATTGAAACTCCTGAACCACACCCTCTACCTCACCGTCACAGTCCTCATTCCATATCTCTCCTCCTCCTACAATGCGATTCTTAAGCCTTTCCCCCTTCTTACTCGTATTGGAGGCTTCAAAAGCACGTTTAGCAAGCTCCTCACCATCCTCATTCCATGTCTCTCCTCCTCCTACGATGCGATTCTTAAGCCTTTCCCCCCTTCTTACTCCTATTGGAGGCTTCAAAAGCACGTTTAGCAAGCTCCTCACCGTCCCAAAAGAACAATCCTGAACTTTTGCCAAAATTGACATGTCTTGTAGCTACACTCTCACTCTCCACCGGGCCTCCTTTTCCCCTGGTGATTGGAGAAACCTCATCAGATTTCTTGTCTTCCAAACCTCCACCCTCCTTCTCAATGTTCTTTGATCCAATGGACATCCCCGCCCTTTTCTCAAGAACCCCAATCGAAAGAGGCACCCCCCAGCCAACACCTTTGAGACCTTCCTCCTGACTGTCTCCATGGTCAAAATTCACTCCTTGACCGGACCCTAGAGAATCGAAGATCCCACATT